TCAGAAGGTGGGTGACACACTTTATCGTAGGTCCTCTGGAGATATGGTCACTGCACTGATAAGAGGTCTTAAGTCTTTCAAGGTTGTTTTTCTTCACACTATTGTTCTTCTACAAAAATTGTTCTCTTGCGTCAGTTCATAAAGGATTCTCAGAAATCGTCTCTTTTGTAATTTCTTTTTTTTTTAAATTAAGAGTGCTACCTTCCTATTTTCAACTACAGCTGTGTTATGTCCCTAGAGAGCTGATGTCCAACATCTTTAGCTCTTCCTCACAACTGAATTCATTTTATTTTATTTTTTTATTTTTAGTGAGGCAATCGGGTCACACAGCTAGTAAGTGTCAAGTGTCTGAGGCTGTTTTGTAATTTCTGACAGCCCAACAATATTCCATTATACTCATAGGCCATAATTTACTCAGCCAATCTTCAAATGTCTAGGAGGCAATCTAACACATCCTCTTAAATTCTAGTTTTTTTTCTCTCCCTTTTAAGTCCCCATTCAGGATCAGAAGTTTGCTGTGCCATTTCCTCCAACCCGAGAATTAATATTCCCTCTTATTATCCCCCAATACTTACTTTCCCCATTACTGATTATGTGTTTTCTATGTGTGAGCATACATCCATTCTGAGATTAAGAGTGACGTTCACCTAATGGCACTTCCCTGACTCGTTCTTCTACCTTTGTACATTCTTCTCATGCCTCCCAATCATGAGAAATAGCAAATCCCACCCCCCTCTTCCTCCTTTTATTCTCCCTTCTCTTTACCCTCTTCTTACTCAGAAAAGATACAACCCATCCCCAGTCCCTCTGTTTTTCTTATTTAACTCCCTTAATGCCTTTTTGAAGATAACAATCAGTAACATCTATTAACCACCTACTATGTGCTATGCACTATGACATTAAAATTTTAAGGGGTCACTTGTTTTTTTCTCTCCCCATTACATTGTTAAGATTGTATCATCCTAAACCTCCTTCCTGAGGCAGCTAGGTGGCGCAGTGGATACAGCACTGGCCCTGGATTCAGGAGGACCTGAGTTCAAATTCAGTCTCAGATACATAACACTTACTAGCTGTGTGACCCTGGGCAAGTCACTTAACCCTACTGCCTAACCAAAAAAAACAAAAACAAAAACAAACACAAACAAACAAAAACTAAACCTCCTTCCAATTGCTCAAATTTACCTTTTTAGGTTTCTCTGGACTACTGTATTTGCATTTTAAAGTTCCTTTGCTCCAATCTTTTATCAGAAATGTCTAGAAGTCCTCTGTTCATTAATGATTCATTTAAAAATAGGATTATATTTAACTTTGTAGGGTAGGTCTTCATATGTATCTTTTGCATTTGGAAAATAGCATCTTTCGATGTCCTCTGGTTTTTAGACGTTTCCAACACTCAGGTGACCTTTCCTGGGGTTCCTTGGTACTTAAATTACTTCTTTCTGGATGTCTGCTGTAAATTTTTTTTTTTAATATGAGAGTTCTAGATTTTGGTATGACATTTGTGGGACCTTTTCTTTTGAGGTTTCTTTTGGAAGGTGATTGGTGGGTTCTTTCTATTTTTACTTTGCCCTTTGGTTCTAATAGATTTGGGTAGTTTTAATTTATGATTTCTTGAAATACAGTGTATGGACTTTTTTATTTGCTTAAATCATGGTTTCCAGAGAGTCTAATTACTCTTAAATTATATCTCCTCGACCTGTTTTACAGGTCAGTTGTTTATGATATCACATATATTACCTTTTCTTCTATTTTTTCAATCTGTTGCTTTTGTTCTACCATTTCTTGCTGTCTCATGGAATTATCTGTTTCTGTCTGATCTATTCTATTATGCAGGGAGGCCATGATCTGGGTAAGGTTCACCACTTTGTCTTCTTATTCTTCTAATTCTTTCCTCTAGAGCTTTTATTTAAAACCTCTTAAAACTCTCTGCTTCATTTCTTCTATGTTTCCAAAAGTCCTCTGGGAAAGTCCATTCTTTCCTTTGAGTCTCTGCTTACATTTGTTAAAAAGTTATTCTTTCCTTTTTGGACATCTTCAGATTTGCAATAATTTTTCATAGTGGTTGGTGTTTTCTTAACTTCCTGAACTGAGCCTTTGTGATATGTACAGGCTCTGCCTAATGACTGCTGTATTCTTGGTTTGGATGGTTGCCCCTGCTTGGTCTATCCCTGGGTTACCTGGGTTCCTGTGCTGACCTCTACCTCCTGGGATTAGAAACCTTGTCTGGGATCTAATGGTAGTGTGCTAGGAACCTTGGAGCCCTTGGTTTGGGTCTGCAGGGTCACATTTTTAGCACTGCACCTTTATTCCAGCACTTCCAAGGCTGCCACCCTGGGACCTCTGGACACTGAGAGACCTAGAGATTACACATGTCCCTGGTGGTATAGGTTTCTTTGTATCCCCATACTTAGCATAGCTCATAGCACATAATAGGTGCTTCACAAATGTTTGTGAACCATGACTGTGACTATCTAATTTAGCTGGGAGTCTACCCTACTCTATGGCCTCATTTCCTATTGTCCTCAGCCTCCCAGCTGACCTCTTCTATAGTTCTGGGGTGGAAAAAATAATTTATTGTAGTTTCTCACTGTATTCCCTCATCATGATTTGTTCTGGTCCAATTTAGGGTTTTGCTGGAATAGGCATGGGAGCTGGGAAGACTGGCTCCTGTTCAAGCAGACAATTTTACAATATAATAATAATTTTAAAAAATTCATATAGCACTTTGAGATTTACAAAATGCTTTCCATACATTATCTCATTTGATCTCCACAACAACCATGTGAAGTAGGTAATGTTATTGTCCCCATCATACAGATGAAGAAATTGAGTCGGAGGATGGCAAAATAGATTGCCCACAGTCACACAAATAAGTGTCGGTGGCAGGATTAGAACCCAGGTATTAACGGTTCTAGGGAGAAAGTCTCTTGGATAGTTTTATTGTAATGCTTCATATCCTCACATGACATATTATGACTCTGGGTACCAAAGGCTGCGTACCTCTGGGGCACAGAGTTCGGGAAAAATCTCCCTCCAGCAGGGATACAATGATAGACTGACTACATATCTGTTGCTCAGGGACAGGCCTAGCAAAGTTCAGAGGAGCTCATTACAGCCTGGATGTAGGGTAATAAATTTTTAAGCCACAGTAATTCTCAAAGACCATAAGTTAAAGAAGGGTTGTAATCTGCATTGGTGAAGATATTACTCACACCAACAAAAGTACTGATCTTTCAAGTATTAACGTAATAAGATCCAAAAAATCTAACTGGTTTCGTTTTGTAGCAACCTTGGAAAACAAAAACTAGCCCAATTTAAACTATGCAAAAATCAATAAACAACTAGAGAGCTCATTCCTTACAAAGTTTCTGAATTCAGTGATTTTTTAAAGCTAGTAACATAGTAGAAAACGAACTTATTCATCATCAAGGATATGTCCATATGCATAGGTATATGCTAAGTACGTTCTTAATAATAAAAATGCTAACAATAGCTGATGCTTATATATTGCTTACTTTGTGCCAGGCACTGTGCTGAACACTTTTTCTTATGCTGCCATTGTATTTTAAAATGCAAAAAAACCTTCCTGCTTGACTTTTCTTTACAATAATGCCATAGATAAGCAAACTGAGCCCCCAGGAAAGGGAAATTGTTGCTTAAGGTCCCTTAGCTATAATTCAGGTCTCTTGGCTCCCAAAGCATTGCTCCAGTTGTTTTTGTTGGTTATATTGCATTAAACCAGGGAATTTAAAAGCACTTAAAAAAAAAAAAAAGCTAGCAAATGTCTGTGAATTCCCATTCCACGGAATTTATTCCAGTTTACAAAGCCAATCTAATTGCTAATAAATCCTTGTTAGTCAACTATTAACTAAACAAAGGTTTAATTTACATCTTTACAAAGTCAAATATTTGCTCTAGCAATTCTACCAGGGAAGATTCTATTTAATCAGTGTGGTATAATATCATCATAAGAAAAGGCAAAGGATACAGCAGACAAGAACTGCATTATGGCAGGCTCTGCATAAACAGCAAAAATCTTTTACTGGATACCAGTTATTTGGCTTGGTCAAACACCTAGTTAATTTGGTCACGTAACTAGTTTTGGACACATTTTGGGGGAGCATTCTTTAATATAAGGCAGTGGTTTTCTAAGTAGTGGTGCTTCTGTGCACCTCCCCCTATTTTTCGAGGGGTACACCAGGACAAAACTGTTTTATACTAAGATATTTTAATTTTTAGAATTTCAATATGGTAAATATCAACAGATAAAACCCACATCCTGAGACCAAAAAGTTTGAGGACTGCCTAACTAAGGCACCAAAGTCCACAACAGAAGGGCAGCAGGGTAGCACTTAATTTCATTTCAATGTGTTTCCAAATCTGAGAAAACAACCTATCAACAACAAAAAAGACCAAGCATATGCATAATGATCTTATTAGCCAGGTTCTCAAAAAAAAAAAAAAAAAAAAGGATCTGATCAGACAAGAATGTAAAATTAGTTTCAATATACATTCTACTACGTAATGAATGTAATTTCCAGTCTGATTCCACCTTCTACTGTAAACTTGATTTTACTGATTAGTGGAATCTCAGACAATTCTATTTCCTAAGGACAAAAATGTTTTGCTGTAAGCCAGGCTCCTCTCTTTCAAATTTCATGTTTGTGGAGGAGGGGAAGCAAGCTAAAAGTCAGACAGAAACAAAAGAGAAGTTTTGTTTATCTTAACTTACGAGCCTTGAATTTAGACTTGAAACAACATATATCTGAATACTGTCTATTAACATATTTATGGGTGTTGAGGAAATTAGGAGAGGCTAAAATGAGAAATAATTAGTGGGCATAGTAATTGGTTGTGAGAACAAAACAGATCACCTAATACGATCTCTGCAGTTGAAAAAGTGATCTTCTGGCTTTTCTGCAAAGACAACATTACAGCATCACTGACACCTTTAAAGATATTAAATAGAACAGCTTTCAATAATCAATAAGTATGACTACCTTGGGAGGAGCTTCGTCTGAGCCTCCTGAATCCCAGGACACTGTGACCTGCCTTCTGGATTCCATCCTCATTCGTTCTTCTTGCTGAAGCTTCTCCTCCTCCAGTATTGTACTAAGGAGACAATAAACTGGGTTAAGGAGAACTGACATTTGTGTGTTAGCGTACTCTAAACCCCACCCTGAAAGCCTCCTTAAGACAGTTCTCCCAATGCCAGTATGCTCAAAGTAGTTGAAGGAAAAAATTAGCAAGGGATTCTTTAATAATGGGCCAGTAGGACAGGGTTTTAAACCAATCACATTTATTTTCAGTTCTAAACTGGAGATTTCACTTAAAGCACAGGCATGGGGGTAAGCACAAGCAAACAAACCAGAAGGTAATAAGCAGGACTGGGGGAGGGGATATAAAGAACAACAAAATCTCTGCATTTAAAAATTCATTCTGTGCTTGTGGCAAAGTATAATTACCCTGAGAAATCCCAAGAAGCAATTTATCAAGCAGATACATGTCTGGAACCACTGATTCTTCATATGGAAAAAGCTCTTTTACCAAACTCAGAAAGGTAAAAACAAAAGCATTAGTACACTATGGGGACCCACAGTTAAGTTTCAGTTTAATTGGCCAATTTGAAACTTGCCAAATACCTAACTACAGTTTTTCAGCTACATTTGAGTATAGTAATGCCCTTAACAAAAGAGTAAAGAAATATGCAATAGTATTTTTAATGATGGCTTTTAGTCATAGAGATGAAAAAAAATCTATACGTTGTTTTAATTGGAAGAAAAAACAGTAAATAACACAGCAAGTCACTTACCAGATTCTTACTATTACGTGGTTATTTGAAGTGCAATATTATACTACCGCCTCCTTTCTGTTCTGCTATACAGATTACTAATCTTGGCTATCTGCCATAATTTAAAATACTTAGAATGCAGCAGAAGTTACAAATCTGTTAGATTCCCATAGTGTAGGAAATCTTTAGGGTTTCCAGCAAAGGCAGAACTAGGCAAAACCTTCACTACAATGGTAAACAGTCTACTTCCTACATGTCTTAACACCAGTATGGAGGGGTTCTAATAATGAAGCTCATTGAAAGCTTATAACCTCCCAGTTTACTGCACGAAACAACCACCCAGAATTACTCATGCAGAGTGAGCTCAGTTGTCCCAGAGCCTCTTCTAATCTGGGAATTTGTCTGACTGTTTCCAAAATACATTCCTGTTTTACTGGAGGCTCTGCTGTGCCATTTCCCTCCTAGACCAGCAGACATAGTCATCTTTTTAAATTGGAAAAAAACCAAAAAGCAAAAAGCCAAACCAGCCCTATTAAAAATAACTATGGAAAAGGCAAACCATGGGTATAGATACAAAACATATATTTTCCCAAAAGAAAAAGGAGGGGCAGTATTTTATTAAAAGTGATCATAAATTCTATAAAACCAAAATTTGACTTTGCTATCAACAACTAAACATTTAGAGGAAACCTCTTCATCAAATGTATCCAGAATACTATTTTGTCTCCCTGTTTCTGCCTGAGGAATCCATCACTAGGAAAATAAATAAGTGACATGCTTTTCAGAAATTTAAGAGTTTAACAGCAACTTTAGACTTTTAATAGAGGGATGTAGTCTATCACAACACTGTGTGAAAAATTGCTACTAGTGACCAAAATGCACAAGGAAATGAATTTTTATTAATAAGCATGCCACAAGTTCTGTATAAAAATGGAATCCATTGTATACTTTAAGATATTTTTAACAAGTGATCTTTTGCTATAGGGGACCTCATAAAATAATACTCAGATAATAGTCAGAAAACAGTCAGAAACACTCAGAAAAGAGTCTTGACTGTACTGCCATTATGCAGGGCACCCCATAGGGTACTATGGGAAATAAGAGAGAAAGTAGAACTTGATGGAGTTTACATCTGAAGGGCAGCCACACACCCACACACACCCCCCCCCCACACGTACACAAAGTGAGGCCAATGTTATTATATAGTTGAAGACCATAATCTTTTTGGTCTACTATTCAAAGAAATGTTTTTATTTCAAATTTTTATTAACAAAAGTGGAAATTATTTTTGTCCTACCCTACACATATTGTATATATGAAAACATATCCTTTACTAAAGTTTTTTTTTCTTTTAAATACCTGACAACAGTGTGGAAGTGATCCTGCGTTATTGAAAGCTATTCCAGTAAACTACAAAGTCTAACAATGTCTATGAAACTGGAAAGGATTCTAATACAGGCCTGAAAGCAGACTGTATGTCTGTAGTCCAAGCATAAACCTGGCTAGTTTTGGAAATGCTCATCACCAGAAGGTGGGATGATGAATTATTTTTGCTGTAGTAATTCAAGTCATGACACGCATACCAATGACAAAATCAAAATCAGGACAATTTATAGAATTTTATTACATATAAAATAATTGGAATCATAGATTTTCAGTTAGAAAGGATACCAGCAAGCATTTACTCCAACCCTTTCTTGATGTGTAAATTTCCTCTCTGACATCCCAGAAAAGCTATAATCAAATCTCTGATTGATCACTTGTAGTAATGGGGAACTCACAACCAAATCAGGTAGTTCATTTAACTAAAGGATAGCTCTGATTGTTAGGAATATTTTTCCTTAGGTCGAGCAAAAATCTGTTTCCTTCACCTCCTACTCAATCGTCCTAGGTTTTAGTCTTGTGCCAAACATAATAGGTAAAGTCTCTCCTCTACCCACCAGCCCTTCAACTACATGAAATGATAATTGATCATGTCCTCCTAAAAATCTTATTTTTTCCAAACAAGCAATTCTAAGCTCTCCAATCAGTCTGTGTATGACATGGTTGTTAGCTTCCTCACCATTCCATTTTTCATCTTTTGGATGAGCATCAGTTTAATCAACATTCAATGGAGATATCCAGAACTGGACATAATAACCCATATGTGGTCTGTTCAGTGCCGAGGACAATGGGACTACCATTTCATGGTGAACAGAGTGCTGTCTGTGGATTCGGGAAGACCTGGGTTCAAATGCCATGTCAAACACTCACTAACTACTGATCTTGATGAAGGCACTTCCCCACTCTTACAATCAGTTTCTTAACCATGAAACAGGAATAATAACTTCATCACTTAATTCAGTGGGTTGTTGTGAGGACTGGATGCTCTGTAGGCTTGAAAGCCTTATATGCATCTGTTTTCATCATCACCCTCAATACTATTATCTCATTTTCATCTATTTGACACAGTCCAGATAGAAGAGGGTTAAATATAAGTATCCTGTTATTCTTTTATATTTAATAATTGGTGAACCACTAGCAAGTGGATAAAATTACTATTATTAGTAGTACTACTTATATTAATGCAGCCTCAGATAATATTAATTCTTTTAGTTAGCTACAATACACTTTAAGCTCAAGGAATTTGTGATTATTTAACCTGTAAAGTTTTTTTTTAATCAACTCTGTTAATCCGTATCTCTCAGATGTCATATTTAATATATGAAGATGAAGTTACTAAACCCTAGTTGATATATAGTTTGTATTTTGAGCATCCCTTTCATCTCTAAACCTAACTTCTCTCCCATCTTCCAGGTAGGTAGTGCTACACGAAGGCCTACTCCAAAGTTTCACTGTGACATGGAAATAATGCTAGGTTTTCAAAGATTATGCCATCAGGGTACAAGATCTTACAGATTCTATCAGTCTCAAAAGGCTTCAAGTATAATCCTAACACTAGACTGCTTTCTAAGGACCAAACTATTTAAGTACAGAGAGGCTCATCACCTAAGAAACGAACTACTAAGTGACGTATGTTTTTTGTCTATGAAACAAAAATAAGATATGACCCTTATTCCCATGTGGCTTCTGCAGCAACAGCAACAAGAAGTTCAGAAAAGGGAGCAAAGAGTACTATAGATCCATATACTTATTTTAAATCTTTCTGAGAATACATGTGTATAGAGGATATCCTTGAAAAAAGGAATGAGAAAGGGATAGGCAAGCTTTTATAAATCGTATTGTACAGGAGATTACATCTTTAAAGTCATAGAGTTGACTGAAAAGTGTAGAGGAAACAAGATTCCACTGTGCTCACTGTTACGGACTAAAAAAATTATATGAGATTCCTCAGAACATACTAGAACAGAACTAGCTTTGTTCCATGATCTTCTGATTATAAATATTAAGGGTGGCATAAAACAGGGAGAGAGAAACTTAGGTATCTGTCACTATCATGGAGCATATGTCCAAATGGACATCAGAGTTCAAATGGAAGAGGTATTCCCCATAGATGGGGAGGGTCCCCAGGTACTTCTGTTTGAAGATAACACTGCGTTAACTGCATTAAATCTGGGACTGCAGAGCCAACTAAACAAGATTCCTAATTGCTCCAAACAGATGAATACCTAAGTATAAGTGGATGAAGTATGCTTCTTGCTCAGACTATGATATGCATTTGGAAGGATAGCCCATAGAGTTGGTCAATGAGTACACATTAGCTTGGACAGACTCTTCTAATGGATAATGAGTAATGAACTGGGCCACGAATTGAATAGAAGGAAGAGAGAACTACACAAGAAGTCATTAGAAATGTGTATGAATGGAAAAAAAAGCTAGTTGTATAATGAGAGCAAGGGATAACTGATGTTTTAGGTGGTTTGCTGCAACAGTACCCACACAATGTCAACAGAACTAAAGGCATATCCCCATTATGTTGGGTGGACAGCATGTGACAATTTTTTTTTTTTTTGGCTAGGCAAGGGGGTGAAGTAACTTGCCCAGGGTCACACAGCTAGTTAAATGTTATGTGTCCGAGGCTGGATTTGAACTCAGGTCCTCCTGAATCCAAGGCTGGTGCTCTATCCACTGCACCATCTAGCTGCCCCAGGATATGACAATTTATAGGAGGATATACTCAAAAGTCCTAGTTGCAAGGCAGCTAGGTGGCGCAATGGATAGAATGCCAGGCCTGGGGTCAGGAAGACTCATCTTCCTGAGTTCAAATCCTGCCTCGGACACTTAATAGCTGTGTGACTCTGGGCAAGTCACTTAACCCTATTTGCCTTAGTTGCTCATCTGTAAAATGAGCTGGAGAAGGAAATGGCAAACCACTCCAGTA